GTCATGGAGAGTCTCCATCCAGCTGGATCACTGTCACAGGTGACACACTCACCTGTCTGTGTTTCTGCAGCTTTCAACATTCAGAATAAACTAATGATTACATGTTGTATGTTTTAGGGAAACCTACAAAAACCTCTCCATCTACTCCCACACCTATATATACATCCACCTCTATCCCTACATCAGCCTCTGCCCCTGGTACTTCTCTTATTCCTGTGTTTATCTCTTTTGGATCAGTCTGTGTTGTGGTTCTACTGGTGTTACTGGTTCTACTGGTGAGAAGAGATGTTGACCTGAAACCTGAAGGTGGGTTGTTGTCAGTTTGTATTACCTGCACTGCAGTGAGATGGCAGCCAGTTGTTTTGAATTAAAAAAAAAAAAGCTCATTTGAATAGTTTGATTCAAATGTGGCTCGTCTGTATTTTAACTGGCCCAGAGAACAGGTGTCGAAGCTGTAACTGCTCAGATGTGTTTGATTTTGGTTTTGGTGACACACAAGTTGTCAAGAAATTGTAATGTTAAAGGTATGGAGAGAAAAATATCATCATGGTGTTTTTCTTTCATTCTCTCAGACTGGGTCTTAATGTGATGATTTGTCTATATATTTGTAAATATATTTTTATTACCTCCTGCACGTAAAACCACAGCAGCAACTTCCTGTTGCTGAAAGTTAAATGCAGAGTGACACTTGCAACACAGGAAAAAATGTACCATACATTAACTGGAAACACTGTATCTGGGATCTTAGGTGGTTTCCAGTCTCAGAGAGAGTTTTGTTGTTCTGGTTAGACTGCTTACTGCCGCGTGTGCTACTTGGCTAATAACAGTTTTCATGTTGGGACAACATATTTACTTCATGATGAAGTGTGTCTGATTGTATTGAAAGAAGATGGCAGCTTTGTGGACACCAGGTTCTTTTTTCACACAAAAGCTGGCGGTTTCTTTTATTCAGAGGTGTTAAAATGAGAAAAAAGCAAAAACCTGCTGCTCTCTGTAAAAAACGTGTGATTTTTTTTTAGACAAATAATAAAGAAAATGTGCAGATTTCATACCTGCTGTAATCTAAATGTGTTTTATTTTGCAGAGATTTATACAACTGTGGTTTACTCAGCAGTGAGAGCTGAAGACGTCAGTATTGGAGACAAAACCATCAGAAAGAGGAGTCCAAGGTACAACTGCTCTCTAACAGAGACAACCCAACCGCACAACCTGTTTCCACACATCATGCTAAGCTAAGCTAACCACATCATTGCTCAGTCTTCACAGACTTGTGAGCTCTCCGTGACAAATGATTTCCTGTTAAGTTGTCTAGTTCATTTAAAGAAACATGAGCAGCAAGATGTGAGCTTCATTAAATTCACCCCTGTTGGTCTTGAAACAAAGCTGAACAACAACTATGATATTACGTTTTAAGTTTTAATACATTTTTATACAACAAATATCATCACAATAATAATAATAATAATCTCTGTGAAAGCTCAGAAGCCAAAAGCCAAAAGCTCAGAAAGCAGAGTGCTCCAAACACTCTACCACAGTCTATTTTTAGTTGTTGTTGTGTGTGAATGATGTCACAGAGGCAGGGTATCAATATGTCCATCTCAACCAGTAAAGCCCCACCCACATGCTGTTTAATCAACCAATCAGAAGAGAGTTTTGATTAAAGGGGACAGGAGGGAACACAGTTGGCATCAGACAGAGGCTGCACAAAGGCCCCATGTAAAGAAGGATTATACTGAACTGTGAATCATACAAAGCTACTGTAGTAGAAAAGAAAAACATGCAGCTGGAAATTGGCAGAAAATGTCCACCTCAAATGTAGAAATACAGCATCTGTTATGTAATATCAGATTAAAGATACCCAAACTTACAGTGATGTTCAAAATTTATTGGATATCATTTTTATAGTTTTGCATCGGTGCACCAACACAGCAGGTTTAAAATCAATTAATCAAGATGTGATTGAAGTGCAAACTTTCAACTTTACTATTGCATTCATTGTTTAGGAATCAGTACGAGTGAGGTAGGCCATCAACAGTCTGGAAACAACCTGCACAAGAGCCAAAAGCCTCCATAAATTATATAAATCACTCTCTTGGCCTTTTCTGGGGGAAATGTACTAACGGAGTAGAGAAGGTCGTACAACAAGGTCTCTGAGTTGATAAAAATAAGGTGAATTGCTGTGAATATCTTATATCAGAAGGTCAACCCCAACCAACATCTGAATTGGACTACAATGTTATTCATATGGAAGCTCTGTGATTTGTATCTGAGCTGGTTCCCAGTAAAGTCTGAACTGGGACTGTGTGTGATGCAGAGAGGTGGAGACTGGAGGTCTTGATTGAACTACAAAGCTTGTAATCATGTTTCCTGTTGTTTGAACTGTGTGTGTTTGTGTTCAGAATTTAAACCAGAGCCAGACGTCGTCTACTCTTCACTGAAGTAGTCCACCAGTCCAACCACTGACGTCCAGCTGCTGGTCTTTAACTGGTCTCCCCAGCACTTCAGACCAGAGGACATCGACAGATTTTTAAATGTCTTAAGTCTTTTTTTTTCTCACTGAGAAAACCCATAGACCCATAGGACTCGAAAATTGCATCATGGATTTTTTAAAGTGTCCTTTAATAAGGAATCACAGCTTCATGGTTCTATAAAAATGTTTCATGTCTTAAAAATTATGCTTTTTATGTGTTTTTTTATGTGCCTCTTTTGTAGAAGTGAAATGAGTTAAACAACTCAAAAAAAATTAAATACAACACATTTTAACTGGAATTTAAAAAATGCATTTTGCAGCAAATCTGCAGTAGGAAAATAAAAATTTGATTTGTATTTCTATTTTTAATTTCTTAGCACTTATTCCCATGGCAAACGCCTTGCTTCTGAGGGTTTGTTCTCACTTGTTTTAAACATTGATGCTTCCTGATATATCTGGTTTTGTTATGATTTAATTATGATTATATCACTGTGGAATTTCAGCATATTCAAACAAAGCTGCTGAAGTTGATTCACATACACTGATATCAAAGTATCACATACCAACAGCAGACAGTCAAACAAAGCAGAAGTAATTTGGGGGGCTTCAGGGTGAGGGGTGAACTGTATGTTCACTTCATTCAAACATGGAGATTTGAATCTCTCTGTTTTAAATCTCCACTGCTTTTTCCAGCCTTAACATTTTTACCAACATCATGTTTGTCTTTATTGCCAAGAGCGATTTAGCTTTGATGAAAGGGTGCAGTGCTAATTTATTAGCTAGTGTCAGATAGCTTGGTTATCAAGCTGCTTCCATAGACTGTAAGGAGTCAACAGAAAGGCACTGATAGCTGCTAAATAGAGCTTTGTAACATAAAAACAAGATCCTAGAATTAAACTTACCAGAACTGGTAATGTTTGTTTATGCAATAAGCCACATAGTATTGGTTACACATTTGCATTAAAAATACCCCCAAAGCACAAACATGGATGAACAATTGGCTGAGGTGAAGCCTAACAGACAGTTGGCAATTACAGCAGCCTGTGTCCATCGACCTCTCAAAGAGGCCACGCCCCTATTAATGCAAACTTTCAGGCTCATTAACATTTGAACAGCTGCGTTATAAAGGCATTCAACTCATGCAAGACCAAATATATTTTTAATAGCAGGTTGTATAAATTTTTATTTCTGCTGTAAAGTTGAACATGTTCACATGAGTGTCTATGGAGAGTGACTGACTTTACAAATCTCAAGTGGACATTAGAGGAACTGCAGCATTTGGTGCTCTTGGTTTGTTCAGTGTTGTAGTGGGAGGAGTCAGAGACACTGAGTTGGACGGAATTAAGATTTAATGTTAAATTAGGTTAACATTAAATTAGATTAAGATTAATTATGTCATAGAAGCAAAAGTAGCTGAATTTAAGAAACTGGAAGCCTGTGATGTGTAAAATAAACCCAGTTTGGATTATGAGTAAATGATTTTACATTTAACCGCATGATGGTATCAGTCAAATGAATATCAGTCTGTCTGTAGATTTTCACACCATGTTAAGTTCTGTGTTTGCTGAACTGTGTGTTTGTCGTCTGTGGTTAACACTAACGAGTCTGCCACTGTTTCTGAGGAAGAAACAATAAGAGCTTCATCTGCAGGTGTTTCAACACAGAGGTGTGAATGTTAAATAGAGGAAGAAACACGTGAGTTATTTGTAAGAGCATTTCTGTAAACTCACACAGGTCAGAGACTGTTATCATATTTACTAAACATGAAAATATATTTTATTATTGGTGTAAATTAAGCACATTTCCTGCTGTATTATTCACAGTTTTCCTTTTAACATTTAGTCTTTCATATTTATGACACCAGCATCTTACAGTATCTAAATTCTGAGCCTACCTCTGATAAAGTTCATATTTTAATAGTGACGGCCTGTTAGTCTGATTGGCTAACATGTGAGCTGACTTTAATATCCTGTTAGTGCAAATAACCAACATTCAGCTTTTGTGAGGAACTGAATGCAGATCATTCAGTTCCTCCTTTATCAGGTGTGTTTATCTCACATTTGACTCCATGTTAAACTATTTTAAATTTCTAAAATAACCTGAGCAGTAACTGAAAACACTCTGAGTGTTTTATATAAAGATTTGTGAGTGGCAGCAGTTTCATGTCTGTTCTCAGCTGTTCTGTCTGCAGTGACGTCCTCTGTGTGTGTTTTACTGTGCAGACACTGATCCAGCTGCAGTTTACTCAGCAGTGAGAACTGAAGACGTCACTTATGGAAAAATCATCACAGACAAGAACAAATGATCACAGATAAGAAGTAAAGCTGCTCTTCTTCACTTCTGCATAAAAACGTCCTGATGATGTTCATGTGGTTTTTATCCATCTGTGTTCGAGTGTGTTTCAGAGGTCGCACAACTTCAGCTCACACATAAGTTCTAAAAAAGATGAGTTAGTTGTTAATATGAGTTATATAAAGAAGAAGAAGGCTGAACAAAACAAAGTGTTCTCAGCTTCCTGAACTGTCCAATAACGCAGTGAAACATTTTAAAACCTTTTACTTCTTTTAACTTCTGCAAACTGAGTTCAGTGAAACGACAGCAGAAGCTTCCTGTTGTTGGCTGCAGTCAGACTGAATCTGAGGACACTGACGAGAACGTGTCGGCTTTCTTCCTTGTGGTTAGTGTGTCGGTCTGCACTGAAAGAAGATGGCGTCACAGCTGGGAGGCCAAACCAGGAGAACGGACTCACAGACACAGATGGAGCCACTGATAAACATGATAACAAAATATACAACTTGAGACTCAAACCATGAACTGTGAATTATGATGCAAACGTGAGCTATGAAATAAACAGGAAATACTATGAAGCAGTTTTCACTTGAACACTGTGACTTTGGGGCAAAGGGGTAGTTAGACTGAGGGGTTGGACCAGGATGCTCAGAGTTACAGTAATGAGAGGAGACGAGGTTCAAAAGGTGTTTGGATGCAGTTCAGGTGAGTGAAACCGAGGTCGTGAAATGTCTTACTTATTGCAGGTGGATTGATGGCGTGGAGAGGGTAGGTGAACCAGGTGAGCAGAGATAAATCTAGAGGAATCAAGTAGTCGAGTTAGGTGAGTGAAGTGAGCATAAGGAGTGACCAAGAAGCTGCCAAGAAGACCAGCATCCTACTGAAGGTGAGTGTTGAAGGTGAGTCATGTTTCAGCGAGTTGACCAGGTGGATTACTATAAACAGAGAGCACAAGATGAGCAAAGTTTCACGAGCGCTGTGGCGGCCCACACTAACAGAGGTTAGAGGAAGATCTGGCAAAGAACCATCGCTGGTCTTAAGTGCCAACAGCTTGATTGCCAACAGGTGTGGACTGCACGCTGGATTGCGGTGACTCCGCCCAGAGGTGGAACCACTGGCTCTTTGGAAAAATATCTGCACTCACCCACCGATGCATCATTATAAATACTGTTTAAACACAGCTGTAACATGCAGTTAGTGTATAAAAATGTGTGAACAAGACATCTTCTTCATCTGAATACAAGATATTTAAGGATAAAACCCAGATGAGAAGTTTCCACACAGCTAAAGCTGCTTCTGTCAGACTGAGGATGGACTGAGGAGCTGCACCAATATCAGATTAAATTATTGTGAACTATGAATTCTGCAAAGCTGCTCTGGACAGTGAGGCTGCAGACTCTGCTGGTGGTTCCTGTGTTTAAGTCTCACAGCTCGGCCTGTTGAGGGGGAGACAAGAGAGACACAAGCTGATGGTCTCTGTGGGTTAAAGGTTTGGGTTTGGTTTATTTCATCCATGTCTCACAGCTAACGTTTGTGGAGTGTGGAAGTGCTGTGATGTGTCACTGAGTCTGACCTGAAACTTTGCTCCACTGAAGTTCCAATTAAGTTTTTCATTAGGTGGTATTTCCTGGCACCGGGTACTTCTGTAGTACCTACTTTGTTGGGGCTCTAAGCAATCTGAAAATGTGACATGAGCAGACTATTTTCCACCAAGTGGATGTCAGTGGCATCTCATGAGTCATGAGATGAGTTCTGGCCGTTTGGCAGAGATTTAAAGTTATTTGCACCCTTGTAGGTGGGAAACATTGCGTTCTTGTGAGAAACGTGTAGTGGACTCCACCGCCACTGACCAATATTTATTAGGGTGTGACGCGAACTTGTGGACAGGTAAGGAAAACAATACAGTTGGAGGGATATTCCTGCTGCGTTTTACTGTCCAGCGTAAGTCATCTCCTGCTTTCATTTACAGAGTACCGAGTTGCTGCTTTGCCAAGTGGATTTCTGGCTGCGGGCAAAGGACCCGACACATCAGTGTGTTTTGATTTGTTTTAACCTGGTGTAAATCGATGGACTGTGACTGCTGCGGCTGTCGATTGTGTTTGCTTCTTGTTTTACTTTTCTGTATCAGTAGACACAGCAGATATTGATTGTCTTATATATATATATATATATATATATATATATATATATCGTTGCAGACAGTGAAGACGCTGCGTGGAATACAAATCCTTTTTTCTTTGGTCTTGCCGCTTTTTGCATGCACCGCCTGAGTGAAGACACCACTGAAGATTTGCCTGTGTTTTGCCCAGCTGGGGTTCAGTGTGAGTGGCCGTCCCTTTTTAACGTGTGTGATATGTTGATTTGTTTTTAACAGGTTCCCCACAGCGCTTATCCTGTCTCATGGGCAATCATACAATTTGATCGTTTTTATCATACTTAATAAAGTAAAGCTTTTTAATTGTTTTTAAGTGCTGCTGTTACACATTTACTTTTATTTTGTATTAAAATTAAACCCATTTTAACTGACTGTGTGCCTACGGCTCTGTCCTATACCTACCACGGGTCACATAAATGCAATCCATCATTATTATTATTATTATTGTTGTTGTTGTTGTTGTTGTTGTTGTTGTTGTTATTATTATCTCCTTCACAAAAATTAACACTGTCATTTTTGAAACCAAGGCAGCGAGGGAACAGCTACAGAAATAGCAACAGTATGATACCCCAGGTATACCATTTGACTGGCGGAAGATCTAGAAAATTTTACATGGGGAGGCAAAGTATGTGAAGATCCTTTATATGTAAATGCAGCAAGGTGATTTTTAACGAGCTTTTAAGTAGAAAATTTTCACTCACACCCTGTTAGATTTGTATTGTTGATTGTCATTTATGCTTAGAAATATCTACTCATATATGCTTAGAGTGTATAATCAATGTCATGTTGGTAGAGGTTTGATCCTTGGTAGTCTGCAAAGACATTGTGTGCATTCCAGAGTGCTCCGGCATTCACACCCACATCCTGGGAGCATGGGACAGGCCGTACCTTCTCCTATTGTTTTGTGGTAGGATAAACGTAGTTATGTCAGTTTTAGTCTAAGTGCCTTTTGTTTAGATGAACTGCTGGACTTCCAGACCAGCAGGTTTACGGAAGTCGTTTATGGGGTCACACACTGACCCCACACACACACACACACACACACACACAGCACAGGAAGGTACTCTTTGTGTGTATGTAGACGTCATATGTTAATGAACCTATGCATATTCATGTAACCTCAATAAAAGAGCAGTGTTACGGGGGAGCGGACAAGAGTCTGATGGAGGTCAAGTTGGTGGAACGACACTTGACTCCAGGCAGGCCTCCCTCATGCATGAGTAACACAAAGAACTTTGCCTACTTCTGTTTTGCTTTTGCTGTGTAGTAAAGTGTCTTGAACGTTCCAGCGAATAAGTTTATGCTACAAACCTATCACACCCTGCAGCACTTCCTGCCATTGACTGTGCACCTTTGTTGCAGCACGTGGTCAATTCTGATGGTAAACAAGTCCAGGAGAGTCATGCTGTGTTGAGGTCATCTGAGTGAATGTGTGTGTGGGGTTAATAATGATATTACAGGTAATCAAATGTTTTGCCATACCTGCACTGTTTCAGTTGTCATTTATTCATTTTTGTGTGTTATTTTATTCTGCAGCGGGGCACAGAGATCCAGCTGCAGTCAAATCAGCACTGAGAACAGAAGACGACAGTTATGAACAAATAGTCATCAGACAAAAGTGGACCAGAGGGACAGCTGCACTTTATTCTCAATGCTGGACAGAACCAACCAGCTGCTGGTCTCTAACTGCTTCCCCAGCACCTCAGACCAGAGGAGGGACACAGTAAGACCAGAAACATCAGAGCTGTGAAGTATTGACTAGAGATGGACCGATCCGATATTACGTATCGGTATCGGTCCGATACTGACCTAAATTACTGGATCGGATATCGGAGAAAAATAAAAAATGTAATCCGATCCATTAAATATCACGAAAGCACCTCACAAAACTTGCAACACGCCGTAACTCACCTCAGAACGTTAGCACGTCGGAGCAGTATGCATCACGTGATAGAGCGGCTGTGGCATGCGGGACCTGTCGGTGGTCTGGATAGCATTTGGAGCTTCGCTAGCAACCCGGCATTTCATCTCCGACAAAGTTATCCCCGAGAGAAGTAAAGCAAGTGTGTAAGTCCATCTCTGAATGTTTGTAAAGCATTCCTGCGTTAAGCTTAACAAGCGACTGCCTCTTCTTGCTGCTACTTCAATCATGAAACTGCTTAATGATCAGCTGATCGGCTTTTCTGTCGCGAGTCCGTCTCTCTTGTTTGTTTTTGGCCCACTTTGCACCAGAAAGAGGAAACCAGCGGCTGAACAACAGCAGCACGTTTAAGCTTGATAAGCTGTTGTTAGAATTTATTTAATATTACTTTCTACTCGAGGATCTTTTTCTACGTAGCTGACGCTGGTAACTGTGCAGGGGCGGATCTAGCAAAGTTTAGCCAGGGGGGCCGATAGGGCATTAACAGGGAAAAGGGGGCACAAAGACATACTTTTCTTTCTTATTCTCATTTAAAATGTCTAGCTTTTAATAAATAATTATCTGACACCCAAAGTTTTAATTTGATGTAAAATGAATAGAAGTCAATTACTGTATATAGTGACTATTAAGTCTAATATATATACCCTAGTAAGCTATAGTACTTTTTCCTTTGGGAAGGTACCATCTGTGCAGTCTGCAATTTTGTTGAAGAAAGATGTTGAATCTATTTAATATTTCTTGAAAAATAATTGATTTCTGTGCATTTTTTTTCACACTGCATCAAATTAAGGTTGATTACGTCGATTAAGCATCATGAGGTGGAGCGTGAGGGGTGGTTCCCTATTTTTTATTTATTTATTTTTGTTGTTGCTGGGAGTTGGAACCCTATTAGTTAGGTTGCTTAATATTTATGCTAAGTACTCTTTAAAATACCAGAATAGGGAGGATGGTGTAGGTTTAAGTTTATTAGATTGATCAGTATTGCTGAACTATGAAATATTTTTTTTGCATACAGGTATAACAGAATAGCTTTAGTGTAGTTGTTGTTTTAAACTTGAGTATGAACTTATACAAAATGCAGCAAGATATTTAAAAAAACAGTTTTGTTGATTAAAAAACACTATATCGGATTCATATCGGTATCGGCAGATATCCAAATTTATGATATCGGTATCGGACATAAAAAAGTGGTATCGTGCCATCTCTAGTATAGACCAAAGCAATTCCCGCACATCCACCGAAGGGGTTTAAATCTGAAGATGACACAGCGGGAGAAGCTGGAGATGACTCATGTAGCTGACATGATGGTGTTGGACTACCAGCAGAAGCAAATAGAACCCAAGGTCAAATATATTAAAACTAAGTATAAAATAACACAAGGGCCATGACGACAAAGTATTAAAGACGGATGATCTGCTTGTATCCATGTTAGTGTTTAAAGTCCAACATCTCCCTCTAGTGGCCACATATAAACATGTGTGAGGATGGTGTTAATGTAAAATGTGAATCATAGTGTTCCAGTCAGTCATCAGTGTGTCTCTGCACAGCTGTAATTAAAATGTGTTCAGAGGGCCTCAGTGTCTGAATGGTTCCAGTTCAGCTCCATAACAGCAGCGTCCCTGGTTTGATTCCTGTGTTTCAGCTCATATCTGCCTCTCTCACTGAGGGGACGTCCACACACACACTGACACCCACTGTCCTTGAACCAATAGAAAGCTGGTGCTCAGAGGAAGAGGGCGGGCTTTACTTGGTGTCAGTGAGAGAAATGAAAAAAAGCTCAAATGAGTGAGAAGGACGATGAAGGAAACATCTGTGCTGTGTCTGCTCTGTAAGTAGAATCTCTGTGTTTGTTTGAATTCTTGTACTTTGACTGTCTGCTCTCCTGATAACTGATGATGGAGGAGAAGACATGAAAAACAAATCAGGCTGAATTCAAGTTCAAACACCACGAGGACCAACTGCAGGTCTGAAGTTTCACAGAGTTACTGATGAATTTATGAGTGAAAAGCTGAAATAAAATGTTGGTGTTTGTGTGAACAGAGCAGAGGACAGACCTTAGTTCAGTACTAGTTGTTTGTCTGTATTCAGTGTAACTATAATGTAACTTGAAGGACTTCCTTGTTCTACAGTAACTACAGAAGCAGCTCATGAAGCATGAAATGATGTGATCAGTTTTATTTAATAATTCTGATCATCGAGAAGTTGAAAAGTGAAATCCTGGAGTCTCTGGTTTAGTACGAGCAGCTTTTTGCTGACCTGGTTTAGATCCACGTTTCCTCTGACAGGAAGATCAAACTGGGCTGTAGGCGACACAACATGAAGAGTTTGATGTTTCTGTCTTAGAGGGAAACATCAAATAATACAAAGTTGTTCTGAGTGATCATCTTTGTGTGTTTATGTCAAATCAACCTGAGTGTCATTTCTCTTTAGTTCTGATCTCACTGCTGAGCTGCACAACAAACCAAGGTCAGTAACCTTCTTCTGTCACAGTTTAAACCTGATAAACTCTGACAGGTTTTACACATTTGGATTAAAACTTTCAGTAAAGATCTCAAAGACGTGATCATCAATTTCTCATTGTAACCCTCACAGCTCGTCTGACTGTGAGTCCCAGCAGCTCTCAGTTCTTTCAAGGAGACTTTGTGTCTCTGAGCTGTGAGGAGGACGACAGCTCTGCTGGATGGACTCTGAGGAGAAACACAAGCAGACGACAGAGGAGTCAGTGTGGAGATGGGTGGGGAGAAGGTGCTGGTTCTTCCTGTGACATCACTTTGATGGCACCTCATGACTGTGGAGTTTACTGGTGTGAGTCCAGAGAGGGTCCCATCAGTAACATGGTTAACCTGACAGTCACTGGTAAGCTGAGTGTGTGGAGTTAGTGTTGATGAAGCTGTGTGTAAATGGATGAAATGCTGTAGTTTGTCTCTGTGTTGAGGTGGATCAGTGATCCTGCAGAGTCCTGTCCTCCCTGTGATGGAGGGAGATGACGTCACTCTGCTCTGTAAAACAAAGACCACTCCCTCCAACCTCCCAGCTGCTTTCTATAAAGATGGCTCCCTCATCAGGAAGCAGCCTACAGGTCACATGACCATCCAGCATGTTTCCAGGTCTGATGAAGGCCTCTACAAGTGTGACATCAGCGGTCATGGAGAGTCTCCATCCAGCTGGATCACTGTCACAGGTGACACACTCACTCTTT